ACACTAGCAGGGGATTAATCTTGAAATTTTTTTTGCTGCGGTTGAGTGTGCTTCTCCAGTATTACCCTCTGATTAACCACGTATTTGGTCGCCACATCCTAGTCCAAACAGTGTGCTTCAGGTGTCTCACTCCTATGACTTGTTGAGATCTTTGGATGAAGGTGCAGTGGTTACTTTCCAAGCAGCGCCCAAGAAAGGTGGAAAGAAGGAAGGGCCCCCGCCTTCTGTTTCCAAATGATTTTCCTATTCCAGAATGTTAGAGGGTTTAACAAACCCTCTAAGTGTAGGGACTTGTATTCAGTCCTTAGGCAGAATAAAGTAGATGTAGTTGCAGTATTAGAAACCAGAGTAAAGAAAAATAAAGCAGTTGAGGTGTTTGAAGGATTCTGTTCTGGCTGGAAGAAGCACTTGAACTATGTTGATAGTGAGTTGGGACGTATTTGGCTGTTCTGGAATCCTGATAGTGTGGAATTGAGTATTTTGGTACCTAGTAAGAATTTTGTTCACTGTTTGGGGAAGTCGGTGGAGGGTGAGAGTTGTTTTCTCACTGCTGTTTATGGTTCTAATGACGAATTGGAAATGAGAGTCACATACTCTGAGCTGGCTAAGGTCAAGGTTTGCAGCCATCCGTGGATAGATGGGGTGGGGGGGATTTTAATGCAGTATTAAAGCCTGAGGAAGTCTCCAAAATAAGTGATTCTACTAGTTGTATGGGAGATTTTGGCAACTGGGTAGGTTCAATGGAACTGGTGGATCACAGGGTGGTTGGCCCTCAATTTACGTGGACTAACAATCAAGTTAGCAGCCCTCTTGCCAAAAAGTTGGATCGTGCACTAGTGAATGAAAAGTGGTTTGATCTCTTCCCGGATTGTCGAATTGATGTTATAGCTGTACATTTTTCAGATTATTGTGGGATTTTGGTGGCATCAAAACCAGCTCAGAAATCTCTTCCCAAACCTTTTAAGTATTTTAATTTTTGGGCGGATAGCCCTGAATTTCTACCTTTGTTAGCAAAGCTTGGGAGTTAATTTCTACCCCCTACAAAGAGTTAAAGTGAAACTCACTGCCGTCAAGAAAGCTCTGAAGCAGCTGCATAAAGAGAAATTTGGGGACATTAGTGCAAAGGTGAAGGAGACAGAAAGGGCACTAACTTCTGCAAAAACTATTGCATTTGAGTCTCCATCTGAGGAGTCTTTCATTCTGATATCAAACTGCAGGTTCAGTTGGAAGAGTTCAGGAAGGCTGAGGAGTGTCTATATAAGCAGAAGTCGAGGGTTAATGTGTTGGAGTTGGGGGATAAAAGCACAAGGTATTTCCATCAAGCAGTTAAAATACATACAGGAAAGAGGGCAATTCGTAAGCTTGTCACTGCAAATGGGGATGAAATCACAGATATTGGTAAAATTGCAGAGGAGGCTGTCTCTTTCTATAAGAATTTATTCGGAGTCAGTGATCCTGGTGTTCATCCTGATCGAAGTCGACTGGAGTTGCTGGTTCACAACAGGCTAGGTGCTCAGGAGGTCTCGTTTCTTACTAAACCTATCATTGAGGATGAGATTCAGGCTATTGTGCTTCACATGAACCCACACAAAGCTCCTGGCCCTGATGGGTTTTCAGCAGGTTTTTACAGAAAGGCGTGGCCAGGCATTCATGCTGATGTCCTTGCAGGAATGATGGATTTCTTCTCCTCTGGGCGATTACAGTTAGTGTTAATGCCACTATTGTTTCTCTGCTACCTAAAATACCTTCAACATGTGCTCTCAAAGACTATAGGCCAATTTCTTGCATAAATATTCTGTATAAGATTATTGCTAAGGTGTTGGCTAACCGTCTAAAGAAAGTAATTCCTAAGGTAATTAGTGGTAACCAATCAGCTTTTATTAAAAGGAAGGAGAATAGTAGACAATATTTTAATGGCACAAGAGCTTGTTAGTGTCTATCACAGAAAGCATTGGAAAAAATCCAAAACTACCACTGTTTAAAAAAAAATTTACAAAAATACCACCCTCACCAAATAATTTCCAAAAATACCATCATTTATATAAAACCGCGCCTCTGATGAGCGGTTTTCAATAAAACCGCGCCTCTGATGAGCGGTTTTCAATGAAACCGCAGCCTAGAGGCGCGGTTTCCCTTATAACCGCTCCTTGGATGCGCGTTTTTATTTTGCAGAGAAAACCGCTTCTGGGACGCGCGGTTATAGGCTAACCCTACCACAAAACGCATTAAGAGGAAGCGTTTAAATGTCGGCATTACAAACCGCCTGATAAAGGGGCGGTTTAAAATGTCAGGACACAAACCGCTCCCCCGAGGCGCGGTTTGTGCCTGGTCACCCGACACCCGACATGTCGGACATGTCGACATGCAGGGGTAGGGCTGCATGGCAGACATAAAACCGCTCCCCCCCCCCCCAAGCGGTTTTGCTGCAAAATTTGCCTATAAAAGGCTGTTTCGGAGAACACAATTCTTCACACTTCCTTCCTCAAATTTCTGCTTTGCACCTTTAAATTATTTATCAGCTGTCGATTAACGTTAATTTTGTTTCGTAATTACTTTTCATTGTCTTTGTGATTTTATGTTAGTAACTTAATTACTTTTGATTGTCCTTTGTGATGTTATGTTAGTAACTTAATTACTTTTCATTGTCATTTGTGATTTTATGTTAGTAATTTGAATTACTTTTCATTGTCCTTTGTGATGTTATGTTAGTAACTTGTGTTACTTTTCATTGTCATTTGTGATTTTATGTTAGTATTTTGAATTACTTTTCATTTTTCTTTGTGTTGTTATGTTAGTAACTTGTGTTACTTTTCATTGCAGATGGCATTCCAAAGGTTCACGCTTGGGTTGCGGTTGAATGGTTACACGGAAGAGACCGAAAAGGGTGTAAGTTACGTCGGTGGCAATTTTCATAAAATGAAGGTCCGTACGAGACCGATGCTTGAAGAGCTCCATCAAATGTGCACTCAGATTACCTGCATGGATGGCACTAGAAGAGTTGATCGAATGGTGTATCGATATCCAAACAGACATGACGGGTCGCTGTGGTATGAGGAATTCCTCCTTACCACTCAGGAGGACGTTGATGCCATGGTCCAATTTTTGACCACCAATACAATGAAGCAAGCGGAGATGTTCGTTTACACCGAGGCCGTTGAAGGCAGTGTAGGTCATTCTGGAGCTGGCCAAACATCTGGTATCCACGGTGGGAGTGTATTATACAAAGATCATCCATTTCCAAGACTCGAGTTGGAGTCAGGCGGAGTATCATCATGGAACTGGAGGAAGTCATCAATCCTTCCCTTCATATGAAGAAGAAGCTCAACAAGCGGATTACAACCAACAAGCAGGCTACCAGTACCCACCCGAGTACAACTTCTATCAAAGCGGTGTTAGTTACCACAACTACCATTACGGAGCTAGTGAAGGTCAAGGTGCCTTTCATGCTGATAATCAAGATGAAGAAGACGTCAATCCAAGTCCAGTTAGTGACCCTGAGGTTGAAGAAGAGGAAGGCGAAGTTAGTGCAGACAGCTCCGATCCGCTGGAAGGTGCTGATGATTCCGGTCCAGATTCAGACGCAGATGGTGATGAGGTACCTCACGACCGTGTACCTATTCCATACTACAATCACATTCAAAGTGAAGATTGGTATGTTGATGCCGACATGGACCCGCCAGATGTGCCAGTATGGGGTCCACTAACTGGCTTTTCGAAGGGCCAACAATTTGCAACGAAGAATGAGGTTCGACACGCTATTTCCACTGAAGCAATGACTCGGAGTTTTGAATGGCAGACAACCCATTCCGACACAAAGAGGTTGATGGTTCGATGCAAAAACCACAATGAGGGATGCGCTTCTAGGGTCCGGGCCATCAAGAGCGAGAGAGTCGGTCATTGGGTCATATCCCGTGCGGTGAACACACACACATGTGTGTCATCAATAACATCCCAAGGCCATCGACAGTTGAAATCAAGGGTGGTTTCCGCGGCTATCAAACATCTAATTGAGGAGCAGCCCGACCTGAAGGTGTAAACCATCATCGCCCACATTTCTAGTCGTTATGGTTATATCATTAACTACAAGAAAGCATGGCATGGGAAACAGAAAGCAATGGCTGCCGTGTTTGGTGACTGGGAAGAATCATATGCATTCCTTCCCAAACTGATTTTGGCGTTGGAGGTGTCTAACCCTGGAACCATTTTCTCGCCTCGCTACCAAGATGAAGAAATTCAATCGCCGGTGGCTGGTAACAATCGCCAATTCAAGCGTCTTTTCTGGGCCTTCAAGCCATGTATTGATGGTTTTCCATACTGTGTTCCTGTGATTCAAGTTGATGGAACATTCCTTACCGGCAAGTACAAGGGTACTCTACTGATTGCCAGCGGAGCAGATGCAAATAGATTAGTATATCCATTAGCCTTTGCCATTGTGGAGGGAGAGAATACCGATAGCTATGGATGGTTCTTCAGACAAATTCAGCTCCATGTCACCAGGCGGACGAACCTGACTATCATCTCAGATCGCCACGCCGGTATACGGGCTGCTATTTTAGGCTTGGATCCAGCCTGGAACTGGTCAAAGAGGTGGTGCATCCGGCATTTCAAGAGAAACTGGAACCATCATTTCAAGCGAAAGAAGCTTGCTGACAGTCTATGGTGGATTGGTAAGCGTTCTAATTAATTGTCTATCTATAAATTTTTAAAACTGTATAAAAGTATTGAGTGTATGGTTACAATACAACACTTATTTAGACTATAAAGAAATGCATGTCTAGGGAAATGGGGACTTAAGCGATCATCATGACCCCCCCATGACCTGGGAAAATCGGGTTCTAAGCGATCCTCGGATCCCCCCTTTTTCTGTCAAAAAGACTGTGTTTCTAAGGAGATGTATACCTCTCCTAAGAGTCTTACGAGTGTACTTGTATTGGCAATAAGGTCGATCTTGCTTATCTTACGTTTTTTTTATATTCATCAGCTGTTGCGTACCAAGAGAAGAAATTTAAAGAGAAGATGCAGAATATCCGTCAAATATGCCCTGAAGGTGCGCAGTGGCTTGATCAACATGACCTTGAAATGTGGACTTTTCATAAGGACGGAGGTCACAGATGGGGTATTGCCACAACAAACTCAAGCGAGAGTATCAACAACGTCTACAGGGAATGTCGTGCACTCCCCATCTCTGCAATTGTTGAGATGACATTCTGGAAAACAAACAGATGGTTCGTCAACCGTCTCCACTGGTGTGAGAAGAGGGAGGCACAGGGTAAGGTACACTCCGATTATGTATTGAAAATAATGGAAAAAGATAATCGGAAGAGCTCTCGTCACACAGTCACTGTGATGAACCGACATGCTGGCGAGTATTCGGTGGAGACTGGGCACTGGGAGGATGGGAGACGTGGTGGTCATCGCCATGAAGTCACCGTAAACTTTAGGACTAAAAAGGGGGAGTGCTCTTGTCAGAAGTATCAGGATAGAGGGATACCATGTTCTCATGCAATGGCTGCAATAAAGCACAGGAGCAAAGATCCTCGTCATTTCGTTAGTCCGTTCTTCAACATTGACTCACAAAAGAGCAGTTATCGTACTAGTTTCCGTGCATTGCCGGATGAAGCTTACTGGCCAGTTTATGAGGGTATGGTCATCATTCCACCAATCGGTCTTAGGCGGGAAACAGGGCGCCCGCGGAGAAAAGGGATTCCAAATGAAATGGATCAAAGTGGAAGACCACCGCGAGGGCCAAGGCGGTGTTCCATATGCAAAGTACCCGGTCATGATAAACGAAAATGTCCGGGACCAATTGGTCCTCAAAATGCAGGGCGCGATGTGGTGAACCCGGATAATGGCGCTTAGATTGATTTCATGCGTGTGTTTCATCTTTGTGTATTAATTTCAATGGTTACTCTACTTGTATGTTGTGTGCTTAAATGACATTGGAGATTTGCACAATTAACAAACTTTGGTGCAATTTTTCCATCTTTTTTAATAAAACACATCACGAACACAAACCGGCTACATTGTTCAACTTAATTTAGACAAAACATAACTTGAAATAAAAACACCATTGTTCAACTTAATTTAAACAAAAGGTCAACTTGAAATAAAAACACCATTGTTCAACTTAATTTAAACAAACCTTAACTTGAAATAAAAACACTCATGCATTGTTTCGACGGTTTGCCCTCTGCTTCCTTGTGCGATGGGCGACTGGTCCACCGGGTGTAGATGATGGTGGAACGGGTGGCAGATTCCTATTCGCCGTAGAAGGGCGATCCTCCGTGCTATGCCGCCTCGGTTCCGTGATAGGTGGCCCCTCCGTCTGCGGCCGAGGGCTATCCATGCTCATACGGTGTGGAGTGGATTGCCAATGTTGTTGGCATTGTTGTTGTGGTGGTCTCCAAGGTGAGAAGTCTTGGTGTGGAGTGGATTGCCATTGTTCTTGCCATTGCTGTTGTTGCCATTGTTGTTGTGGTCGCTGCAAAGGTGAGAAGTCTTGGTGGGGACTTGAGTATGAACCCTCGGCCCAAGTAGCTGAAGATGTGCCATCATGAAATGTACTTGGCCGTTGTTCATACTGGAAACTGGGCCGGAGATTGTACTGGAAACTTGACCGCGGATCATACTGGCTTCCGGGCGTGGGATCGTACTGAGTACTCCCCCCTTCACCGCTGCACACCTCCAAAGGAGTAGACGCCTTCCATGCCTCAATCGGTTTGATCTCCGGCATGTGAGGTCGATCCCTCATAGCTTTGTTTTGCCTTCTATGGACCGGCGGAGGCACCGGGTCAACATCAAGCGTCACCGGCGGCGGTCTCACTGGGGGAACTGGAGGGTATCGCCTATGGTCACGTCCGCGCGCTCGCATACAGCCAAGGAGATTGTTCGCTATCCTTCGAATCATCCCCACCTCTCGACCCGCCGCCGAATGATCTGCGGTCCGTGCGAGGTCGTGGATTCGCTCGATGCCATCAACCTAAATCGAACAAAATAACAAAGTTAGCCATTTAAAAAATAATGCACCGCATGACTAAACAAATAAAAAATTAGTTTCTTACCAAAGCTCCATCCGCCGCTCCTTCGGGGGTCATGTAACGAACAGATTGTCTTCGGTAGGTTTCCAGGTATGGGTCATGGTAGCCCATCCGCCCCACATGAGATGCCGTCACAATATCCTGATCTTGCCTAACATTCCACAACCGGATCAACGACTTATACTCCTCCGGCCAATTAGTAGGTCCTTGTCGACCATCTTTCCCGTGGTACCCCTTCTGACTCTCCGGGACATCCAATGGTATGCATTGCTCACGTCCAAATTGTCGTAGACATCGATCCGGCAAGTGCCACTCCACTATGTGGTGGCAGATTAGTGGAACTCGAGTGCACCATTGACCGGGATGTAACGGGAACTTGTGGGCGTGATGCGCTTCAATCCGTTCTGGATACGGACCGAACTTAAGCTACGAAGGTTTAAATAATAAAACCATTAATCAACATAATAATATAAGTTAAAAAAAAGTAGGGTTTTAATAGCGTATTATGATGCTCACCTCTGCTTCCCATAGGTGATCAAGCCTCCTACGATACTCCTCCAGCTTATGCGCTCCTAGGTTGTCGCATGTTGTTTCACCAAGCCACCTATTAATATGGAAAAGTACATAATGTTAGTACCTTCAAAAAATTTCGTTACAAAAAACTAAATTAGTAAAAAAAAATGTGAGAACTATGAGTGGGATAGAAGATATTTACCTACAACCATAAGCTTCATGTCGTAGGGGATGGTCGGGTCCCCATTCCTTGTCGGGGTCTACCTTCGGCGCAATCCATGGCAAATGCTCCCAAGCCCAAAATTGGACGATGAACATTGCCCCATCAATCTCCTTCACCGCTCTCGCACTAGCATTACATAGGGATCGGTAGAGCTGGGCTAGGCAAGCAGATGCCCAGCTCAAGTTTCCCATATCATCCCAACTACCAAGTATGATCTTCAACCATGAATTGCTGATTAGGTTGTTGGATTTCTTGGGGAAGAAAACTCCTCCGATCATGCCGAGGATGTAGATATGTGCATAAATGTCTTTATCGCGCTCCGAACTTTCCTCTGTGAGGGGAATCCCTCCGAACTCAGGGTTGTGCTTACGCCTGATCTCCGCTGTCAACCACGTGATGGATACTTGGCCCTTGGACAATGGTGGATTACCATCCGCATCGTGATCTCCCTTTTCTGGCGGACACAACCCGGTGACCGTCCATATAAAATGTTGCCAACCACTCATATTGGCAACAACTTTAGGTGGTGCCGTAGAGTCCACACAAACAACATCACCATGAATGGGGAGATCGGTAAGTATGGCGATGTCCTTAAGTGTGATGGTGCACTCGCCTTCACGAAAATTGAAGCAGTGTGTCTCCTTTCGCCATCTCTCTACCATCGCCGTGATGAGTTGGCGGTCAACCTTAATTCCATTGAAATGCCTAATCGAATCCAATCTTGCCCTTTTTAGAAAGGGCAAGATGACGTCGTTCCATTCAAGCACATTCGTTGTGCCCCTATAGCGGACTATATGGTATGCATCCTAGAGAAGAATTTAAATTTCACTATAAGTTGATGATTTATACATATATAAATATATTATAAGATACAATTTATATATACATTATCTAATAAACATTAATTTTAACATATACATTATCTAATAAACATTAATATTAACATATACATTATCTAATAAACATTAATTTTAACATATACATTATCTAATAAACATTAATATTAACATAAGTAAAATAATTTCCTAAGATGCAATATTAATTAAATCAAGCGATTTTATAAAAATATACATTGTCTAATAAACATTAATATTAACATAACTAAAATAATATCCAAATATATTATTTTGTTAATCGTATTGATTATTTTCAATAATTTAAAGCAATACAAGTACACTCGTAAGACTCTTAGGAGAGGGATACATCTCCTTAGAAACACAGTCTTTTTGACAGAAAAAGGGGGGATCCGAGGATCGCTTAGAACCCGATTTTCCCAGGTCATGGGGGGATCATGATGATCGCTTAAGTCCCCATTTCCTTAGACATGCATTTCTTTATAAAGAGTCTAAATAAGTGTTGTATTGTATTGATTTAAATTATTGAAAATAATCAATACGATTAACAATTAAGTAAATTATTGTACAAAAAAATAAATTACTTTAACAAAATACAAATTACAAGTGATGATAAATAATATGTACCTTGTGGTCGTTCCAAACGTCTCTTGAACGATGATTTGCTTGATCGTATAAAACTGTCGGATCAATGGGTCCTTGCTCAACATAATATCGTTGATTGAAAATATCAACATCCGGCCCAACCTACGATAGCATAACAATAACACAAATCATTAGTATATAAATTAAATAAATCATTATAACAACAACAACAACAACAATTGGGAAAAATGAGTACGTACCGTTTGATAATCATAAAAAAAGGCCCTCTTCTTGAGCGAAATCAGCCATTCTCTCGGAATCCGGACAGAGGTTCAACGGTTTTTTAGTGAAAACCAAAGAAAAGTTTTTTGGAGGCAGATCGGACTTAGGCCGCAACCAACAAAAAAACGTTTCTAAGGTTTTTGGGTGGGGAGGGGAGTGGATAGGGAGAAGTTAGAGGGAGAGAGGGGGGAATGAGGTTGGTGTGCAGAAAAGTGAAGGGGGAGGGGGTTTATATAGGGTACAAACCGCGTCCCCGAGGGCCATTTCGTCAATTTTTTCCAACGAAAACCGCGCCTCGGAGACGCGGTTTGGTTCTCCCGAACAGTCAACCGCGCCTCGGGCACGCGGTTTGATTCTCCCGAACAGTCAAACCGCGCCTCGAGGACGCGGTTTGCTTTTCCCGAACAGTCAAACCGCGCCTCGGGGACGCGGTTTACTTGGCCGACGCGGATCGCCGAGCTGGCACACGTTTTGGCCGTTAGATCGCTCTCCCAGCGAGCGGTTTAATGAACCGCCACGTGGACACGCGGTTTGACAGCCATGCAAGGTCAAACCGCTCCTTGGTGGCGCGTTTTGTGAAAAAACCGCGCCTCTAGGCTGCGGTTTCATTGAAAATCGCTCATTAGAGGCGCGATTTTATATAAACGATGGTATTTTTGGAAATTATTTGGTGAGGGTGGTATTTTTGTAAATTTTTTTTTAAACAGTGGTAGTTTTGGATTTTTTCCGAAAGCATTTATCTTCTCGTTGTGCTATCAAAGTGGATCTTATGAAGGCTTTCGATTCAGTTAATTGGACTTATCTGTTTATGATGACGGAGGTTATTGGTTTTCCAGCTTGTTTTATAAATTGGAGTAAGTTGACAGTCAAAACAGCAAGTGGCTTCTGGACAATATTTGGGTGGCCTGGATCAGGACCTACAGGATCAAACAGGGTTGCATCTGGACAATAAGGTCTGGTTCTAGTGGCTCCTGGGCCTGGCGAAGGATTCTGAAGACTCGAAGTGTGCTGCAACAACACTTCTCTGTGCAGGGGGAAACAGTCCTCTGGAATCAGGTCCCTATGCCTCGGTTCCGTTTAAGTATTTTTTGGGAGACAATCAGACCTAAATGGCCTGTTGTGGAGTGGCATAAGCTTGTATGGGGGCATGGTTTCGTTCCTAGAAACAGCTTCCTTGCATGGACGATTCTTCTGGATTGAATTGTCACCTTTGATAAATTGTTGAAATGGGGAAAGGTTGTGGATGATGTGTGTGTCTTGTGTAAGCAGGGACAGGAAACTAGGGAGCATTTGTTTCTTCAATGCTCGTATGCAAGAGAGGTGATGCAGTGAGTTTGTTCTCTTAATTTTTATAGAATGTCATGGTCTGCTACTGTGGAGGCTGCTTGTGCTTTTTGCAAGCAGAAGAATGGTGCTGTTGCAGGGATGGTTTGGTGCTTCCTGGTGGCTTCCATCTGGAAGGAAAGATGCAGACAGAAACATGGTGGCCCTTGTCATTCAGTTGCTGGATTGCAGGAGCTGATCAAGAGTGATCTCTTGGTCATTGGAGCAGCTAGATGCATACTTGAAGACCTGGCGTGTGTTGGCATCTCGTGATGTGCTTTTCTGATTGAGTTCATTTGCTGGTGGCTTCTGTTAGTAGTAGTAGTAGTAGTTGGTTCCAGCAGTAGTGGTTAGTTGAGGATTTGAGACCTTTTGGGTATCCTTGATATACCCATTTCGTTGTATTTGGTTCTCCTAGCATCTTGCTAGTTTCTTATTAATAAGATGAGGGCAACTGATTCAACGAAAAAAAATAATTAAGTTGCCCTAAAATTGTTAATTTTGACAATTATAAATCACTGCCTCTGCCCGTGATTTTGCTAGACTAGGTACTATAAATCATTGTTACTGCTTATGATTTTGTTGTGGATGTTGAAATTTGAAATTAATTTTGTGTGGGTGATTTTCGTTAAGTATGGATCTAGGTTGATCCATGGACTTCTAAAAGTGGCTATTGGAAAAAAATTGTGCTATTTAGTTGTACTTTAATTTGCACATATATATGTATTATTATGTTTTGTTATTATTATTGTTAATTTTGGTCAGCTAATTCCCACGTGACTTGGTGAGGGAATTAGGTTTTAGTTTTCCACAAACTATATAAGGCCAAAGCTAGGGCTCGGTCATTGGGTCATATCCCGTGCGGTGAACACACACACATGTGTGTCATCAATAACATCCCAAGGCCATCGACAGTTGAAATCAAGGGTGGTTTCCGCGGCTATCAAACATCTAATTGAGGAGCAGCCCGACCTGAAGGTGTAAACCATCATCGCCCACATTTCTAGTCGTTATGGTTATATCATTAACTACAAGAAAGCATGGCATGGGAAACAGAAAGCAATGGCTGCCGTGTTTGGTGACTGGGAAGAATCATATGCATTCCTTCCCAAACTGATTTTGGCGTTGGAGGTGTCTAACCCTGGAACCATTTTCTCGCCTCGCTACCAAGATGAAGAAATTCAATCGCCGGTGGCTGGTAACAATCGCCAATTCAAGCGTCTTTTCTGGGCCTTCAAGCCATGTATTGATGGTTTTCCATACTGTGTTCCTGTGATTCAAGTTGATGGAACATTCCTTACCGGCAAGTACAAGGGTACTCTACTGATTGCCAGCGGAGCAGATGCAAATAGATTAGTATATCCATTAGCCTTTGCCATTGTGGAGGGAGAGAATACCGATAGCTATGGATGGTTCTTCAGACAAATTCAGCTCCATGTCACCAGGCGGACGAACCTGACTATCATCTCAGATCGCCACGCCGGTATACGGGCTGCTATTTTAGGCTTGGATCCAGCCTGGAACTGGTCAAAGAGGTGGTGCATCCGGCATTTCAAGAGAAACTGGAACCATCATTTCAAGCGAAAGAAGCTTGCTGACAGTCTATGGTGGATTGGTAAGCGTTCTAATTAATTGTCTATCTATAAATTTTTAAAACTGTATAAAAGTATTGAGTGTATGGTTACAATACAACACTTATTTAGACTATAAAGAAATGCATGTCTAGGGAAATGGGGACTTAAGCGATCATCATGACCCCCCCATGACCTGGGAAAATCGGGTTCTAAGCGATCCTCGGATCCCCCCTTTTTCTGTCAAAAAGACTGTGTTTCTAAGGAGATGTATACCTCTCCTAAGAGTCTTACGAGTGTACTTGTATTGGCAATAAGGTCGATCTTGCTTATCTTACGTTTTTTTTATATTCATCAGCTGTTGCGTACCAAGAGAAGAAATTTAAAGAGAAGATGCAGAATATCCGTCAAATATGCCCTGAAGGTGCGCAGTGGCTTGATCAACATGACCTTGAAATGTGGACTTTTCATAAGGACGGAGGTCACAGATGGGGTATTGCCACAACAAACTCAAGCGAGAGTATCAACAACGTCTACAGGGAATGTCGTGCACTCCCCATCTCTGCAATTGTTGAGATGACATTCTGGAAAACAAACAGATGGTTCGTCAACCGTCTCCACTGGTGTGAGAAGAGGGAGGCACAGGGTAAGGTACACTCCGATTATGTATTGAAAATAATGGAAAAAGATAATCGGAAGAGCTCTCGTCACACAGTCACTGTGATGAACCGACATGCTGGCGAGTATTCGGTGGAGACTGGGCACTGGGAGGATGGGAGACGTGGTGGTCATCGCCATGAAGTCACCGTAAACTTTAGGACTAAAAAGGGGGAGTGCTCTTGTCAGAAGTATCAGGATAGAGGGATACCATGTTCTCATGCAATGGCTGCAATAAAGCACAGGAGCAAAGATCCTCGTCATTTCGTTAGTCCGTTCTTCAACATTGACTCACAAAAGAGCAGTTATCGTACTAGTTTCCGTGCATTGCCGGATGAAGCTTACTGGCCAGTTTATGAGGGTATGGTCATCATTCCACCAATCGGTCTTAGGCGGGAAACAGGGCGCCCGCGGAGAAAAGGGATTCCAAATGAAATGGATCAAAGTGGAAGACCACCGCGAGGGCCAAGGCGGTGTTCCATATGCAAAGTACCCGGTCATGATAAACGAAAATGTCCGGGACCAATTGGTCCTCAAAATGCAGGGCGCGATGTGGTGAACCCGGATAATGGCGCTTAGATTGATTTCATGCGTGTGTTTCATCTTTGTGTATTAATTTCAATGGTTACTCTACTTGTATGTTGTGTGCTTAAATGACATTGGAGATTTGCACAATTAACAAACTTTGGTGCAATTTTTCCATCTTTTTTAATAAAACACATCACGAACACAAACCGGCTACATTGTTCAACTTAATTTAGACAAAACATAACTTGAAATAAAAACACCATTGTTCAACTTAATTTAAACAAAAGGTCAACTTGAAATAAAAACACCATTGTTCAACTTAATTTAAACAAACCTTAACTTGAAATAAAAACACTCATGCATTGTTTCGACGGTTTGCCCTCTGCTTCCTTGTGCGATGGGCGACTGGTCCACCGGGTGTAGATGATGGTGGAACGGGTGGCAGATTCCTATTCGCCGTAGAAGGGCGATCCTCCGTGCTATGCCGCCTCGGTTCCGTGATAGGTGGCCCCTCCGTCTGCGGCCGAGGGCTATCCATGCTCATACGGTGTGGAGTGGATTGCCAATGTTGTTGGCATTGTTGTTGTGGTGGTCTCCAAGGTGAGAAGTCTTGGTGTGGAGTGGATTGCCATTGTTCTTGCCATTGCTGTTGTTGCCATTGTTGTTGTGGTCGCTGCAAAGGTGAGAAGTCTTGGTGGGGACTTGAGTATGAACCCTCGGCCCAAGTAGCTGAAGATGTGCCATCATGAAATGTACTTGGCCGTTGTTCATACTGGAAACTGGGCCGGAGATTGTACTGGAAACTTGACCGCGGATCATACTGGCTTCCGGGCGTGGGATCGTACTGAGTACTCCCCCCTTCACCGCTGCACACCTCCAAAGGAGTAGACGCCTTCCATGCCTCAATCGGTTTGATCTCCGGCATGTGAGGTCGATCCCTCATAGCTTTGTTTTGCCTTCTATGGACCGGCGGAGGCACCGGGTCAACATCAAGCGTCACCGGCGGCGGTCTCACTGGGGGAACTGGAGGGTATCGCCTATGGTCACGTCCGCGCGCTCGCATACAGCCAAGGAGATTGTTCGCTATCCTTCGAATCATCCCCACCTCTCGACCCGCCGCCGAATGATCTGCGGTCCGTGCGAGGTCGTGGATTCGCTCGATGCCATCAACCTAAATCGAACAAAATAACAAAGTTAGCCATTTAAAAAATAATGCACCGCATGACTAAACAAATAAAAAATTAGTTTCTTACCAAAGCTCCATCCGCCGCTCCTTCGGGGGTCATGTAACGAACAGATTGTCTTCGGTAGGTTTCCAGGTATGGGTCATGGTAGCCCATCCGCCCCACATGAGATGCCGTCACAATATCCTGATCTTGCCTAACATTCCACAACCGGATCAACGACTTATACTCCTCCGGCCAATTAGTAGGTCCTTGTCGACCATCTTTCCCGTGGTACCCCTTCTGACTCTCCGGGACATCCAATGGTATGCATTGCTCACGTCCAAATTGTCGTAGACATCGATCCGGCAAGTGCCACTCCACTATGTGGTGGCAGATTAGTGGAACTCGAGTGCACCATTGACCGGGATGTAACGGGAACTTGTGGGCGTGATGCGCTTCAATCCGTTCTGGATACGGACCGAACTTAAGCTACGAAGGTTTAAATAATAAAACCATTAATCAACATAATAATATAAGTTAAAAAAAAGTAGGGTTTTAATAGCGTATTATGATGCTCACCTCTGCTTCCCATAGGTGATCAAGCCTCCTACGATACTCCTCCAGCTTATGCGCTCCTAGGTTGTCGCATGTTGTTTCACCAAGCCACCTATTAATATGGAAAAGTACATAATGTTAGTACCTTCAAAAAATTTCGTTACAAAAAACTAAATTAGTAAAAAAAAATGTGAGAACTATGAGTGGGATAGAAGATATTTACCTACAACCATAAGCTTCATGTCGTAGGGGATGGTCGGGTCCCCATTCCTTGTCGGGGTCTACCTTCGGCGCAATCCATGGCAAATGCTCCCAAGCCCAAAATTGGACGATGAACATTGCCCCATCAATCTCCTTCACCGCTCTCGCACTAGCATTACATAGGGATCGGTAGAGCTGGGCTAGGCAAGCAGATGCCCAGCTCAAGTTTCCCATATCATCCCAACTACCAAGTATGATCTTCAACCATGAATTGCTGATTAGGTTGTTGGATTTCTTGGGGAAGAAAACTCCTCCGATCATGCCGAGGATGTAGATATGTGCATAAATGTCTTTATCGCGCTCCGAACTTTCCTCTGTGAGGGGAATCCCTCCGAACTCAGGGTTGTGCTTACGCCTGATCTCCGCTGTCAACCACGTGATGGATACTTGGCCCTTGGACAATGGTGGATTACCATCCGCATCGTGATCTCCCTTTTCTGGCGGACACAACCCGGTGACCGTCCATATAAAATGTTGCCAACCACTCATATTGGCAACAACTTTAGGTGGTGCCGTAGAGTCCACACAAACAACATCACCATGAATGGGGAGATCGGTAAGTATGGCGATGTCCTTAAGTGTGATGGTGCACTCGCCTTCACGAAAATTGAAGCAGTGTGTCTCCTTTCGCCATCTCTCTACCATCGCCGTGATGAGTTGGCGGTCAACCTTAATTCCATTGAAATGCCTAATCGAATCCAATCTTGCCCTTTTTAGAAAGGGCAAGATGACGTCGTTCCATTCAAGCACATTCGTTGTGCCCCTATAGCGGACTATATGGTATGCATCCTAGAGAAGAATTTAAATTTCACTATAAGTTGATGATTTATACATATATAAATATATTATAAGATACAATTTATATATACATTATCTAATAAACATTAATTTTAACATATACATTATCTAATAAACATTAATATTAACATATACATTATCTAATAAACATTAATTTTAACATATACATTATCTAATAAACATTAATATTAACATAAGTAAAATAATTTCCTAAGATGCAATATTAATTAAATCAAGCGATTTTATAAAAATATACATTGTCTAATAAACATTAATATTAACATAACTAAAATAATATCCAAATATATTATTTTGTTAATCGTATTGATTATTTTCAATAATTTAAAGCAATACAAGTACACTCGTAAGACTCTTAGGAGAGGGATACATCTCCTTAGAAACACAGTCTTTTTGACAGAAAAAGGGGGGATCCGAGGATCGCTTAGAACCCGATTTTCCCAGGTCATGGGGGGATCATGATGATCGCTTAAGTCCCCATTTCCTTAGACATGCATTTCTTTATAAAGAGTCTAAATAAGTGTTGTATTGTATTGATTTAAATTATTGAAAATAATCAATACGATTAACAATTAAGTAAATTATTGTACAAAAAAATAAATTACTTTAACAAAATACAAATTACAAGTGATGATAAATAATATGTACCTTGTGGTCGTTCCAAACGTCTCTTGAACGATGATTTGCTTGATCGTATAAAACTGTCGGATCAATGGGTCCTTGCTCAACATAATATCGTTGATTGAAAATATCAACATCCGGCCCAACCTACGATAGCATAACAATAACACAAATCATTAGTATATAAATTAAATAAATCATTATAACAACAACAACAACAACAATTGGGAAAAATGAGTACGTACCGTTTGATAATCATAAAAAAAGGCCCTCTTCTTGAGCGAAATCAGCCATTCTCTCGGAATCCGGACAGAGGTTCAACGGTTTTTTAGTGAAAACCAAAGAAAAGTTTTTTGGAGGCAGATCGGACTTAGGCCGCAACCAACAAAAAAACGTTTCTAAGGTTTTTGGGTGGGGAGGGGAGTGGATAGGGAGAAGTTAGAGGGAGAGAGGGGGGAATGAGGTTGGTGTGCAGAAAAGTGAAGGGGGAGGGGGTTTATATAGGGTACAAACCGCGTCCCCGAGGGCCATTTCGTCAATTTTTTCCAACGAAAACCGCGCCTCGGAGACGCGGTTTGGTTCTCCCGAACAGTCAACCGCGCCTCGGGCACGCGGTTTGATTCTCCCGAACAGTCAAACCGCGCCTCGAGGACGCGGTTTGCTTTTCCCGAACAGTCAAACCGCGCCTCGGGGACGCGGTTTACTTGGCCGACGCGGATCGCCGAGCTGGCACACGTTTTGGCCGTTAGATCGCTCTCCCAGCGAGCGGTTTAATGAACCGCCACGTGGACACGCGGTTTGACAGCCATGCAAGGTCAAACCGCTCCTTGGTGGCGCGTTTTGTGAAAAAACCGCGCCTCTAGGCTGCGGTTTCATTGAAAATCGCTCATTAGAGGCGCGATTTTATATAAACGATGGTATTTTTGGAAATTATTTGGTGAGGGTGGTATTTTTGTAAATTTTTTTTTAAACAGTGGTAGTTTTGGATTTTTTCCGAAAGCATTTATCTTCTCGTTGTGCTATCAAAGTGGA